CCCATGATGCAGCTAGGGCAAACTTACCCAACATAACAAACTTTAAGGACTGATGGAGTTTCACGGGGTTAAACTGGTAGTTCATCCACAACTGTATGCATTTGGTACAATTAAAAAATAGACTTTCAAGTAACCCGGGCAATGCTGGGGACCCAAGCTAGTAAATAATAATAATAATAATAATAATAATAATAATAATAATAATAATACATGTATTACCTGCCTCTCTTTATGTCTTGAGCCATTATGTTTACTAGTACATATTACTTATTATTATTATTAACATTATTACAAAGGCATATTTGTACATTACTTATCTATACTAGTATATATATTTATTACTCATCCTAATAATAATAATAATAATAATAATAATAATAATAATAAATTATTATTTTTATTATTTTTATTATTAAATATTTTTGGGTTATCCATGTAGTAGCCCACTGTTGCCAATTCCCCAACATTTGGCAAAGGAATATTTGTACATGACCAGAAATAATAACAATAATAATAAGTAGTAGTAGTAGTAGCAGAATATATAACATTATTATTATTACAATTACTACCTATCATTATCATTATTTGTACATTACTTTACTAGTATATCTATTCTTCCTCATAATAATAATAATTTGTATGTTACTTATCTATTATTATTATTATATTATTTTACTATATTATTATTATTTGCACATTACTTATCTATACATATATATATATATATATTACTCCTAATAATAATATATTAAAATAATATAATAATAACGGATAAGTAACATACAAATTATTGCTATTGTTATTATTAGGAATGATATATATACTAGTATAGATAGGTAATGTACAAATAATAATATAATAATATATTAAAATAATAATATTATAATCGATTAATAACATGCAAATTATTAGTATTATGAGGAGTAATATATAAGTAAATATAAGTAATGTACAAATAATAATATTATAATATATTAAAATAACAATAATAATTAAGAGTAATAAGAATAATACATGAATAACATACAAATTATTATTATTATTATTATGAGGATTAATATATATACTAGTATAGATAAGTAATATACAAATAATAATATAATAATAATATAAAATATTATTATTATTATAGATTAATAACATACAAATTATTATTATTATTATTATGAGAAGTAATATATATACTAGTAAAGATAAGTAAAATACAAATAATAATATAATAATATATTAAAGTAATAATAATATTAATATAATAATATAAAAGTAATAAGAATAATACACAAATAACATACAAATTATTATTATTATTATTATTATTATTATTATTAGGATTAATATATATATACTAGTATAGATAAGTAATGTACAAATAATAATATAAGAATAATATATTAAAATGTTATTATTATTATTATAGATTAATAACATACAAATTATTATTATTATGAGAAGTAATATATATACTAGTAAAGATAAGTAATGTACAAATAATATTATAATATATTAAAATAATAATAATATAAGAATAATAATACATGAACAACATACAAATTATTATTATTACATCACTAACATACAGATAATTATTAATATTATTATTATGAGGAATAATATATATACTAGTATAAATAAGTAATGTACAAATAATAATAATATAATATATTATTATTAAAGATTAATAACACAAATTATTATTATTATTATTATGAGGAATAATATATATACTAGTATAAATAAGTAATGTACAAATAATAATAATATAATATATTATGATTAAATATTAATACCATACAAATTATTATTATTAGGAATAATAAATACTAGTATAAATAAGTAATGTACAAATAATAATATAATATATTATTATTATTAAAGATTAATAACATACAAATTATTATTATTATGAGGAATAATATATATACTAGTATAAATAAGTAATGTACAAATAATAATAATATAATATACTATTATTAAAGATTAATAACATACAAATTATTATTATTATTATGAGTAATACATATACGAGTATATGTATTTATTTGTAATGTACAAACAATAATATCATATTAAAATAATAATAATATAAGAAAACATAAATAACATTATTATTATTATTATTATTATTATTATTATTATTATTATTGGCTGTTAGGAATGATGGGAGTTGGAGTCCAAAACACCTGGAGGGAAGGAGAGCCGGGGTTCGCCTGTGCCTGTTCTCTGACCTTTGCCATCCTTCCCAGTCCCTTCCGGCAACTGGTCCCAGTCACAGACCTGCCTGGGGCTCTTCCTCCTTCTCCTCCTCCTTCTCCTCCTCCTGGGCTTTGCTGCTGGTCTGGTTGCCCATCCTGGCTCTTCCTCTTCCTCTTCCTCTTCCTCTCCTTGCTAAGGCCCCTTCCCCTTTGGGGGGTCCATCTCCCCCTTTCTCTGGGACCGGATCCGGCTTCTGCTGCTGCTGCCCTTGGGCTCCTCCTGCCCAGGCATCTCTTCTTCCCTCCCTCTTTCACTCTCTCTTTCCTCCACGCCTCCTTTCTTTTCTTTCCCTTTTTTTTTCACTCTCTCTTTCCTCCACGCCTCCTTTCTTTTCTTTCCCTTTTTTTTTCACTCTCTCTTTCCTCCACGCCTCCTTTCTTTTTTTTTCCCCCTTCTCTTTCATTGGCAGCAGAAAGGAGGCTGGGAAAGGGGCGCCCTCAAGAGGAGGGAAGGAAGGAAAGGAGGAAGGAAGGAAGAAGGAAAAGAAGGATCAGAGGAAGAAAGGGGGGAAGGAGGAAAGGAGGATGAAAGAGGAGGATGGAAGGGAGAAAGAAGGAAAGGAAGGTGGAAGAGAAAAGAAGGATCAGAGGAAGAAAGGGAGGAAGGAGAAAAGGATGAAGGAAAGGAAGGCAGAAAGAAGGAAAAGAAGTATAAGAGGAAGGGAGGGAGGAAGAAGAAAAGGAGGAAGGAAGAGGAGGACGGAAGACAAAAAGAAGAAAAAGAAGAGGGAGGGAGGGAGGAAGGGGAAAAGGAGGAAGGAAGAGGAAGACGGAAGACAAAAAGAAGGAAAAGAAGTATAAGAGGAAGAAAGGGAGGAAGGAGAAAAGGAGGAAGGAAAGGAAAAGAAGGAGAGGAAGGTGGAGGAGAAAAGAAGGATCAGAGGAAGAAAAGGGAGGAAGGAGAAAAGGAACGAAAGGAAGGCAGAAAAGAAGTATAAGAGGAAGAAAGGGAAGGAAAAAAGGAGGAAGGAAGAGGAGGAGAGAAGACAGAAAGAAGGAAAAGAGGTATAAGAGGAAGAAAGGGAGGAAGGAGAAAAGGAGGAAGAGGAAGGAGGAAGGAAAGGAAGGCAGAAGAGAAAAGAAGTATAAGAGGAAGAAGGGGAAGGAAAGGAGGAAGGAAGAGGAAGACGGAAGACAGAAAGAAGGAAAAGAAGTATAAGAGGAAGAAATGGAGGAAGGTGAAAAAGAGGAAGGAGGAAGGAAAGGAAGGCACAAGAGAAATGAAATATAAGAGGAAGAAGGGAAAGGAGAAAAGGAGGAAGGAAGAGGAGGACGGAAGGCAGAAAGAAGGAAAAGAAGTATAAGAAGAAGAAAGGGGAAGGAGAAAAGGAGGATGAAAGAGGAGGACGGAAGGCAGAAAGAAGGAAATGAAGGATCAGAGGAAGGAAGGAGGAAAGGAGGATGAAAGAGGAGGATGGAAGGCAGAAAGAAGGAGAAGAAGGTGGAGGAGAAAAGAGGGATCAGAGGAAGAAAGGGAGGAAGGAGAAAAGGAGGAAGAGGAAGGAGTAAGGAAAGGAAGGCAGAAGAGAAATGAAGAAAGGGGAAGGAAAAAAGGAAGAAGGAAGGCTGAAAGAAGGAAAAGAAGTACAAGAAGAAAGGAAGGAGAATAAGGAGGAAAAAAGAGGAGGAGGAAGGGAGGAAGGCAGAAGGGAGGAAAGGCAGTATGAGAGGAAGAATGGGAGGAAGGAAAAAAGGAGGAAGGGAGGTGGAAGGAAAGGAAAGAAAGTGGAAGTGAAGGAAGGATGAGAAAGGAAAGGGGGAAGGCATGAGGAAGGAAAGAACAATTGAAGGAAGAAAAGGGAGGGAAGGAAGGAAGAGAAAGGAAATGGGAAGGCACAAAGGAAGGAAGGAGAAAAAGAAGGGAAGGAAGGGTGAGAAAGGAAAGGGAGAAAGGAAGAGAAAGGAAGAAAGAAACAGAAAAGGAAGGGAATGAAAGAGAAAGGAAGAAAGAAAATGAGGGATAGAAGGATGAGAAAGGAAAGGGGTAAAGGCATGAAGACAGGAAAGGAGGAAAGAAGGAGAGCGGAGGGAGGAAATGAGAAAAAGAGAAAGGAAAGGAGAAGGGAAGAAAGAAAAATGAGGGAAGGAAGGATAAGAAAGGAAAGGGAGAAAGGCATGAAGAAAGGAAGGAAATAAAAAGGAGGGAAAGAAAGGCAAGAAGAAGGGAAAGAAGGGTGAGAAGAGAAAGGGAGAAAGGCATGAGGGGTAGAAGGAAAGAAAGAAAGAAAAAAAGAAGGGAAAGAAAAGGAAGGAGAAGGGATGAAAGAAAATGAAGGATAGAAGGATGCGAAAGGAAAGGGAGAAAGGCATGAAGAAAGGAAGGAAATAAAAAGGAGGGAAAGAAAGGAAAGAAGAAGGGAAAGAAGGGTGAGAAAGAAAAGGAAGAAAGGCATGAAGAGAGGAAGGAAATAAAGAAAAAAGGAGGGAAAGAAAGGAAAGAAGAAGGGATAGAAAGGTGAGAAAGGGAAGGGAGAAAAGCACAAAAGACAGAAGGAAAGAAAGAAAGAAAAAGAAGGGAAAGAAAGGAGAATGGATGAAAGAAAATGAGGGATAGAAGGATGAGAAAGGAAAGGAGGAAAGTCATGGGGGGAGTAAAAAAGGAAGGAAAGAGAAAGTAGGAAAGAATGAGAAAAGGGGAAAGAAAGGAATGGAGAAGGCAAGAAAGAAAAACGAGGGAAGGCTGAGAAGGAAAGAAAGAAAAAGAAGGGAGGGAAGGCTAGAAGGTGGAGGGTGGAGTGGCCGGCCTACCTGTGCTGGTCCGCAACCGGTTTTCGGCCAGTTCGGCGATGGCCCCCGTGGTGACGGTCTTCTTCAGGCGGGAGACCCCCGCGGCCGCAGCAAAGCCCGGCTTGTTCAGCATGTCCTCACTGCTGGCCCTTTTCAGCTGCAATGGAGAGAGAAGGGAGAGCTCTAGTGGCGCAGTGGGGTGGTCGTTGCGCTAATGTACAGATCCATGGGTTCAGCAGCGCACTAGTGATAACATGGCATCATGGGGTCATCATCCTCTATTTTGGGGATCTTCCTAATTTGTTTCTAATTCGTTTCGAGCAATAATGGCTTCAAACCTATGAGTTGGTTCAGTGTGTCTGACATCTAGTGGCTGAAGGTGGTATGACAGCCTTATGTTTATGTAGTTGAATAAACTTTCCTAATGTGTTTATGATAAAACCAATTCGGAGATGACGTTTATAACCCAGGAACAGAGGTCGAGCGGCCCACCTTCCCGAGCCGGGAGTCGAAGGCCAGCGAAGTGGACGACTTGGAGGCCTTCATGCCGGGCGACGGGATGGGCAGCGGTTTGACCCTCTCTGTTGCCGCCACCGCTTTGGAGGAGACCGAGGCAGCGCTCCACGGCCTGCATGCGCTGCCCTTCATGCTCCGAGCTGCAGAGGGAAGGACGGCCTGGGAAACAGCAAGAGAGGAACGTCAGGTAGTCATAATAATAACAACAACAATAATAATAATAATAACAATAATAATAATATGAGATGGAAGCCAGGTCATAATAATATTCAAGAGATGCAAGACATAATAATAATAATAATAATCATAATAATAATAATAATAATAGTAATGAGATGGAAGTCAGGTAATAATATTGAAGAGATGCGGATCTAATAATAATAATAATAATAATAATAATAATAATAATAATARTAATGAGATGGAAGTCAGGTAATAATATTGAAGAGATGCGAGTCTAATAATAATAATAGTAATAGTAACAATAGTAATGAGATGGAAGGCAGGTAATAATATTGAAGAGATGTGGGTCTAATAATAATAATAGTAATAGTAATAGTAACGAGATGGAAGTTAGGTAATAATATTCAAGAGATGCAAAACATAATAAGTAATAATAATAAGAAGACAATGGAAGTCAGGTAATAATAATAATAATAATAATAATAATAATAATAATAATAATAATAATAATATTGAAGAGATGCAATTGTAATAACAATAATAAAAATAATAGTAATGAGATGGAAGTCAGGTAATAATATTCAAGAGATGCAAGACTGATAATAAATAAAAATAACAAGAAGATGGAAATCAGGTAATAATAATAATAATAATAATAATAATAATAATAATAATAATAAGATGCAAGTCTAATAGTAGTAGTAATAATAATATGAAAGTCAGGTAATAATAATAGTAATGATAGTAATAAAATATCCAAGAGATGAAATAATAATAATAACGAGGTAAACGTCAGGTAATAATAGTAGTAGTTGTAGTAGTCAGGCAATAATAATAATAGTAATATTCAGGAGATGAAAGGTACGTTGCTCCATCCAGGAGAGAGGAGGTCAGCCTGGGAAACAACAACAAGGAGGAAACTAGAGATGAACACAAGGTGAAAATAACATATTCAAGAGATGAGTCAGATAATAATAATAGTAGTAATAATAACAATAATAATGAGGTGGAAGTCAGGTAAGAATAAGAATGAAGAGATGAAAGTCTAATAATGATAATAATAATAATATTCAAGAGATGAGTCAATAATAATAATAGTAATAATAACAATAATGAGGTGGAAGTCAGGTAAGAATAAGAATAATAATGAAGAGATGTAAGTCTAATAATAATAGAAATAATAATAATATTCAAGAGATGAGTCACTAATAATAGTAATAATAATAATAATGAGGATGAAGTCAGGTAATAATAATAATAATGAAAAGATGTAAGTCTAATAATAGTAATAATATTCAAGAGATGAAAGTCAGATAATAATAATAATAATAACAATAACAATATTCAAGAGAGGAAAGGTAGGTAATAATAATACTAAAAATATTCAAGGGGTAAAAGCAAGATAATAATAACCAACAACAACAAAAACAACCATATGCAAGAAGTGAAAGACAGGTAATAATAATAATAATGATAATAATAATATTCAAGAGATGAGTCAAAGTCAGGTAATAATAACAACAATAACAATAACAAATTGCAAGAGATAAAAGGCAGGTAATAATAATAACAATAATATTCAAGAGATGTGTCAATAATAATAATAATAATAATAATAATAATAATAATAGATGAAAGTCAGGCAATAGTGAAATAATTATTTAAGAAATGAAAGGTATTATTATATTTCTATTTATGTTTAGATATTATTATTATTATTGTTATTATTATTACGCTTTGTGGAGCGAGGCCTGCCTGTTCCCTTCTGTTCCTGACGTGGCTTTTGGGGCCGGATGCCGGGAAAGGCGTGGGTGTCCGCAGCCGAGGAATGGAAATCTGTTCCAAACCCCTGGCTTCTTCCTCTCCTTCCCCCTTCTTCCCCTTCTCTTCCTCTTTGGGAATCAAATGCACATGTCGTTCCCTTTAGTCCCACCTCACAAGGCTGTCGTGAACAAGGAATAGGGGGGTCCTGGGTTCATTATCTATCTATACACATACACATCATAATAAAAGTCAAAATATGCATGTTTGTATGGGAGAGGCATCCCAATGTTTCTCCACTGATGTGGAATTTGCATGAGCTGCCTCTCCCTTATATGTGTGTTTCCTCCACCACAGACACCCCAGTGTTTCTTCCTCTCTCCATTGGTGTGGAATTTGCACGACCCTAGCCACTGCCTCTCCCTTATATGTGTTTCCTCCACCACAGGCATCCCAGTGTTCCTTCCTCTCTCCATTGGTGTGGAATTTACTTGACCCTTATATGTGTTTCCTCCACCACAGACATCCCAGTGTTTCTTTCTCTCTCCATTGGTGTGGAATTTGCACAACCCTGCCCACTGCCTCTCCCTTATGTGTGTTTCCTCCACCACAGACACCCCAGTGTTTCTCTCTCTCTCCATTGGTGTGGAATTTGCACGACCCTGCCCACTGCCTCTCCCTTATATGTGCTTCCTCCACCACAGGCATCCCAGTGCTTCTTTCTCTCTCCATTGGTGTGGAATTTACACAACCCTGCTCACCGCCTCTCCCTTATATGTGTTTCCTCCACCACAGGCATCCCAGTGCTCCTTTTTCTCTCCATTGGTGTGGAATTTATATGATCCTTATATGTGTTTCCTCCACCACAGACACCCCAGTGTTTCTTTCTCTCTCCATTGGTGTGGAATTTGCACAACCCTGCCCACTGCCTCTCCCTTATATGTGTTTCCTCCACCACAGACACCCCAGTGCTTCTTTCTCTCTCCATTGGTGTGGAATTTGCATGACCCTTATATGGGTTTCCTCCACCACAGACATCCCAGTGTTTCTTCCTCTCTCAATTGATATGGAATTTCCATGACCCCACTCACTGCCTCTCCCTTATATGTGTGTTTCCTCCACCACAGGCATCTTAGTGTTTCTTTCTCTCTCCATTGGTGTGGAATTTACATGACCCTTATATGTGTTTCCTCCACCACAGACACCCCAATGTTTCTTCCTCTCGCCATTGGTGTGGAATTTACACGACCCTGCCCACTGCCTCTCCCTTATATAATAATAATAATAATAATAATAATAATAATAATAATAATAATAATCAAGAGAGAGATTGATTTTGAGTTTTGGGAGTTGTAGTTCACCTACAACTTGAGAAACTATGACTCCCACCAGTGATGGACCGGGACCAAACTAGGCACACAGAACCTCCATGACTTAGTCAACCTACGTTTTGGGAGTTGTAGTTCACCTACAACTAGAGAAACGGTGACTCCCGCCAATGATGGACCGGGACCAAACTAGGCACACAGAACCTCCATGACTAACTCAACCTACTGGAGGGGTCGGAGGGGACAGACTCACCATAGTGGGAGTTGTAGTTCACCCTGCAGCCAGAGAGCACACTCAACCCCACAGATGATGCATTACACAGCATGAGAAACTTTAATTGCCGTTGGAGTTTCTCAGAGTGAACCTGGCATGATGGGAGTTGTAGTTCCCCCATATAGAAGAAATAAGGAAGGACTGCGGGGAACATAGGAGAAGCTGAAGAGCATATCTCGCAGTTCGTAACCACAAGGTCCACATGACTCAGCCTGGTTTGCAAGACAGAGGAAGTTGGTGGCGGAGGGTCGTTAGCTAAAAATATAACGATAAGAGGACAATTTCGGAAGGAAAGGCGGCTGCTGACAAAGCCGGAGGATGGACGGAGGGAGGGGAAATCAATACTATCCCTCTCCAAGTTGGGACAGAAATACCTTCCTACTCCTTTGGTGAAAAACACCATCCTATTTCTTATCCACTTCCAGCAATAATACCAGAAATTAATTAATAATGGCTTCAAACCTATGCGTTGGTTGGGGATGTCTGACATCTAGTGGCCGAAGATGGTATGACGTCCTCTGGTACATTTAAAATAAATTATTATTATTATATTTATTATTATAGTTATTATTATACTCTGACATCTAGTGGCTGAAGGTGGTATGACATCCTCTCAAAAATTTAAAATAAATTATTATTATTATTATTATTATTATTATTATATTATTATTATATTTATTGCTTTTCTTATTACATGTATTCTTATGACTATTATTATTGTTATTATTAGATTTACTATTGATATTACTGCTATTGTCATTGCATTTATTAACATATTGATTGTTTATTCGTTCGGTCGCTTCCGACTCTTCGTGACTTCATGGACCATCCCAGGCCAAAGCTCCCTATCGACCGTCACCACCCCCAGCTCCTTCAGAGTCAATCCAGTTACTTCAAGGATTCCATCCATCCATCTTGCCCTTGGCTCCTCTGCCTATTTCCTTGTATTTTCCCCAGCATAATTGTCTTCTCTAAGTTTTCCTATCTTCCTGGACCAGCCCAGGCCAAAGCTCCCTGTTGACCGTCACCACCCCCAGCTCCTTCAGAGTCAAGCCTGTCACTTCAAGGATGCCATCCATCCATCTTGCCCTTGGTTGGCCCCTCTTCCTTTTTCCTTCCATTTTCCCCAGCATGATTGTCTTCTCTAAGCTTTCCTATCTTCCTCGACCAGCCCAGGCCAAAGCTCCCTGTCGGCCGTCACCACCCCCAGCTCCTTCAGTCAAGGCAGTCACTTCAAGGATGCCATCCATCCATCTTGTCCTTTCGCAGCCCCTGTTCCTTTTTCCTTCCATTTTCCCCAGCATCGTTGTCTTCTCTAAGCTTTCCTACCTTCCTGGACCAGCCCATGCCAGAGCTCCCTGTTGACCGTCACCACCCCCAGCTCCTTCAGAGTCAAGCCAGTCCCTTCAAGGATCCCATCCATCCATCTTGCCCTTGGTTGGCCCCTCTTCCTTTTTCCTTCTATTTTCCCCAGCATCGTTGTCTTCTCTAAGCTTTCCTGTCTTCTCATTATGTGGCCAAAGGACTTCATCATCATACTTATATTTATTAATATTCTTACTAAATGCATTTCTATTCTTATTACATTTATTTTTATTATTATATTTA